CTTCATCTTCTAGTGTTTCAGCTACATCCTCCTCTTTAGAGAGGGCACCCACAGTTACTCCCTCTGGTGACTTATCAGGAACGGTTTCTTCAAGTTTACTGGAAGGCTTTACTTCAACAGCAAATGTTTTTAACTTTGGCAAACTTAATTCTCCAGTAGATTCTCCAGTCTCACTGTGTGGTTTGTCAGATAGTTTAAGTTCAGCACTGCCAGTATTCTGTGCTGCTATTCCGAAGCTTTCATCAGCACGTTTAGGTTTGCTCACTGGTATGCCTTCTGTTGAAGATGGCTGCTGGACCAGCACTTCTAAGTTGCTATGTGATTCAGGCAACTTCACCTTGAGCAATGAGAACCCCAAAGCAGCAGTTTTGACTTCTGGTGAGAGAATCTCTGATTCTTTCAGTATTTCAGTAGTGTAGATCTCACACCTTTCAATGGCAACATGTTCAGGTTCTACTTTCTCGCTCACTTCTTGGCCCTCTAGGTATGACCAATGAATGTCTTGCCCCGTGTTTGAAAGGGAGGACTCTATGGTAGCAGTCACCTGTGCTGTTTTAATATCAGGTTCAGTCAGTGTCAGAATTTTGCTTTTTGCTTTTTGAATACCACCCTCCAGAGCCTCTGGTGTTTCTCTTGAGGTAGGAGAGCTTGGCTGCAGGTGTACTACTTCAATGTCAGTACTAGATCCCTTTGGGTCCATCACCACTTTTGACACTGAAACATCAACTTCAGCTGGGAGAGCTTCAAAAGTGAATCTCGGTATTTTTAGTTTGGGAATTTTTATATTTACTTCTGGGCCATCCTGTAATTCATCCACTGTTTCCACTGTTACTCTCGCAGATGCTTCCATATGATCTGCATCCGGAACTTTCAGCCCAACAGATCCTTCTGGCATTTGAAATTGCCTTTCTGCTGTGCTTATTTCAGTTTTAGATATTGAGCCAGCTTCTGACTTTGACAAACTGATGCCATCTTTAAAACCCTTCATTTCTGAATGCAACAGTCCGAACTTTGGAATCTTAAATTTGTATGGTTTAATTTTACTTGTTTCTGCTCTATCTTCTACTTGCACTTCCACCCCTGCGCACATGTCCTTTTCAATGCTTTTCACTTGAAATTTCTTTTCAGGATCTACTCTAGCAATTTTAACATCCATCTTCACTCCTGGAACTTCTACCTTTAGATCTTCCAGCTTAGCTGTAACATAAACACCATCTTCTGATCCCTTCGTTGCAGACCATTCACAGGCAGAGCTTTTTAACTGGCTTCCTTCGCTGTCTTTTCCTCTAATTTTCATCTCACCTCTTATCTTTCCTTTTTCAATTACTGCCTCTTGATTTTGAGTTTCTACCTCTTCCTTTGGAAGACTAACATCTATTTTCTTCTGTGTTGCATCCAGAGTAGTTTCAGCTGATGATATTTTACATCCAACTCCTGAAGTCTCTGACTTAGTGAAACTTTCTACCTTTGGGACTTTGACATCCTGTGATTTGACTTTATGCTCTTGAAGAGTCAGAGTACACATACTTGTTAAACTCTTCTCTTTGTCAATTTCTGAAGCAGTTAGGTAGGAATCACACAATTCTGCTGAAGACACTGTGAATTCTGATACATGTATTTTTTGTCCTTCAGCACTACGCTTAACTATGTCTGCATAAGTTTCAGTTTTTGGAATATTCACTCCACTATCTGTTCTTTCTGTAGATGATGAAATATCTCCTTCCATCTTTGACAATCTAACATCAGGACTCTTCACAGAATCTTCTAATTTTGGAATTCCTTCTTTTTCAATAGTAATTTCAGCAACTGCATGTGGTAATGAGAAGGTATTTTCAGGAACACTCGTTTCAGTTTGTGCTTTGGCAGAGTGACTGCTTGCCTGAGCTTTTTCCATACTACTTTCAGTATAAGCATCACCTTTTCTTTCTTTTAAATATGTCCTGCCAAATGCAGGTATTCTGAATTTTGGCATTTTAAACCATCCCTGGTGTTCCTCAATCTGAACTTCTTCAGCTTTTATTTCTTCTTTTAGTTTGATTTCTTTCTCCTTGAGGCTCTCAACAGGTCGCTCTGTCACTGGTTCAGACACAGACTGGGGGCTTATGTTTACCTTTGGAGCTTCAAGGCCAGCTGCCAGAATTTGGGGTGTTTTTATCTTACAAACACCTACTCCAGAATCTGACACATCCGACGTAAGTTCTGATGCTGGAACTCCCACAGCAATGTCAGCAATTTCATTTGTCATTTTTAGATGGGGTAGCTCAGCTTCTATTTTTGGAGAGCTGATGGCTGTCTCTGGACCTTTCTCTTTTGTTAGGGAGATTCCAAACTTTGGCTTCTGAAATTTGGGCATTTTTATCTTTCCTTCAGAACCTTCCAATTTCATATTTCTTCCATCCACAAGTGATGATATTTCTGTTACTATTTCAGGGCTCCTCAGTTCAATTGAAGCTTCTCCTTTGGGAAACTTAACACCTGTTTTTTGAATAGTGTCTTCATTGGTAGAACTTGGTTCTAGGACAACTTGTTGAAACTTACCATCTGAGGGAAGCAGAGCAGCATCAATCTTTGCTGATCTGACTCCCTTTTCAGTTTGGGAGGCTCCAGTTTCTATTTTGGAAAACCCTGGAGTGGGGATCTTAACATCAGCCAGTTTTATGCTTATTTGTGCCCCTTCTTCTGTCCTTTCAGAATGACTTCTTTCTATATCAGGTATCTGTATTGAAGCATCGCCCTCTCTTTCTGTTTTAGGAATCGTAGCATCAACTGCAACTTTAGTTGACTGAGTCTGAGATTTGGGAACCTTGATCTTGGAGAGTGAAATTTTAGGCATGACAAATTGAGGCTTTTTAATTGGACTTTTTTGTTCAACTTTTCCTGAAGATATTTCCATATCAAGGGCTGACCCAATACCTTGATCATCACTTGCAGTTCCTTTCACTTCTGTGTCTGTTCTGCTTGATATTACAACAAATTTATGATCTTCCAAATTTGCTACAGAATTCAGTTTAACACTTGCTTCCTTCTTTGGTGACCAACTGAAGGATGGAAGTTTGAATTTTGGCATTTTAAAATGTCCTTCTTTCTCTTCTCCGTCTTCATCTTGCTTTATTTCTGCTTTGATTTTTACTGCTGCATCTGAATCTTGAATATCACTCTCTGCTTTTGGAATAGAAATGTCAGCTGATGGGAGGTGAACATCAACCTCTGATGCCTTATTGTTAGCTGTGGTCATTTTGACTTTAGGGCTGTAATTTTCTGTTCCTGTACCATATCCCACCTCCAAATCTGGTGCTTCGAGAGCAATGTCAGCTATTTCTATCATTGCTTTTAGTTGAGGAACCTTGACTTCTGATTTGGATTGTTTGACCTCCTTTTCTGACCCTTTCCCTTTCGAATGTGTAATTCCAAACTTTGGCATTTGGAACTTAGACATTTTTGTTTTCCCTTCAGGACCTTCAATTTTTATTTCTACATCACCCACAGCAATTTCACCTGATGTACTTTCAACACTTGTCTCAGGACTCTTCACCTCAAGGGAGCCTTCAGTTGTCATCTTAATGTCTGAGGTGGAGAGACTGGCATTAGCACCAGGTGTCAGGCCATCTCCTTCACATGCAGAAAGTATGACCTCACCTGTAGTCATGCCAGTATCCATCTCTGGTTTGGAAGTTTTGACTTCTGCTTTAGGAAATTCCAAAGTTGGCACTGTAACTTTTGGCATTTTTATGTCCATTCCTGCCCCTTCTCTACTACTCACTTTCACAGATTTCTGTACTGAAACACCTTCTTCTTCTTCTTGTTTGGGACCACAAACATCAGTTTCCAGTATGGGCAGAGCGACTTGGACTTTCTGACCTTTAATTTTAGGGAATGAGATCTTTGGCATAGTAAACTGGGGCTTCTTGTTTCTGACCTTTTCAACATCATTTTCTGTTGATGTATCAAATTCCACATTAAGATATTGATTCTCAGGGCTAGGTAATGTTGATTCTGTGTCTCTAGATAAAGTAGACAAAGTGGGTTCTTTCGTATGTCGCTCAGCTTCAGGAGAAATACCTTCTTTCTTTGGTGACCAACTAAATGAAGGCAGTTTGAATTTTGAGGTTTTAAATTTGTTTTCTTTCTCCTCAGTCTCCTTTTCTCCTGAAACTGCTTCCAATTCTGACTTGTAATCTAAATCTGAGCCATGGATATCTACTTCTAATTTTGGCACAGTAACTTCCATTAATGAGAGACTGACATCCAGTGCTGGGGCATCCAGAGTAACTCCAGATGAAGACTTGTGCACCTCTACATCTAATTTGGCATCAGACACCTGAGGTGTTTTATCAGTATCAGTATCAATCATATCAGATGTTACACTTAGCTGGGAAATTTCAGATTCTACTTTGAAACCAATGTCACTTTCTAATGCTTTTCCCTTAGACCAAGAAAATCCAAATTTTTGTTTTCGGAATTTAGGAATTTTAACTGTAAAATCTGTGTCATCCACAGATATTTCAGCAGCTGGTGTTTTCAGTCCTGGCATGAGACTTTCCTGATCCAAAGTAACATTTTCATTTAAAATTTCAAAATCTGGTATGGAAATATTGGGATCAGCATGAGACAATATTTTTGATTCATATTCTTCTACATTCATTTGATATTTAGTAAGAGTAATATGTCCTGTTGATAATGGGGAAACTTGGTCGATTTTTGAAGAAGCAATTTCAACTTTAGAGAAACCCAAGCTAGGAATTCTGAATTTAGTATTTTTAGAGCCACTATCTCCCTTAGAGTCAGGAAGAACTTCAGATACAACACTGTCTGACAGAACAGCAAGAGTTTCCTCTGTTACAGAATCACAAACACCTTCTGACACAGAAAAATCAATTCCAGACTTAATGTGTGCCTGAGATTTGGAAGATTTGGAAAGAGAAACCTTAGGCATTCTAAACAGAGAACTCTTAGCTTTACCCATCTCAACAACTCTTCTAGAAGAAGAATCAATACCAGATTCAAAAGCAGAAGATTGCATCTCGGCTGCGGGCAGGGTCACCTCGATGTCGGCACTTCCCAAGGGCACCGTCACTTGGGGCTCCTTGAGGCTGACGTCCACATCGGCGGCCAGGCGGCCCTTGGCCTCCCTGCTGGGAAGGCATGCCGAGCTTGGGCATCTTGAACTTGCCGTCCTTGGTCTTTGCAGCCTCCTCCTCCGGTGCTTTTGCTTCCCCCTCGAGGCTGAGGGCTGCCTCAGGGGCCTGCACATCGATGCTGGCCTTTGGAAGGCTGATGTCGACGGCTGGGAAGCTGATGTCCACCTTGGGAGCTCTGATGTCGACTTTGGGCATTTTGAGGGAGGGCTCCTCCAGATTCAAGCTGGCCCCTTCAATTTTGGGGATGTCAGTTTTCAGGCCCAGCGTGGGGGACTCCCCTGTGGCTGTCAAGGAAACAGAGGGGAGGTCTACCTCGGCGCTGGGCACACTGACCTCTACTTTGGGCCCTTCCAACCTGGGGGGCGACACTCCGAATTTGGGCTTGTCAAACTTGGGCATCTTGAACTTCCCTTTCAGGCCAGAGGTTTCAAGATCAGCCCCGTCGAGTGAGACTTCGGCAGAAGGCACTTTGAGGTCAACCTCAGGCGCCTGGAGCTCGACGGAGGGCAGCTTGATATCAGGGGCGGCGAGGCTGGTCATCGGCGCCGGCCTTGACATCTGCCTCCAGGAGGCTGGCGTCGACTTTGGCCAGGCTGAGGTCTGTGTCTGCTTTGGGCACCTTGGTGGTTGGCTTGGAGAAGACCACCCTGGGCACTTTGAATTTCGGCATGTGTAGTTTCATGCCACCGCCC